CCAACCACCCAGGAGTCTTAAAGAGTTAAGAGGACTACAAGGATGTTTGGCCTACATCTAAAGATTCATCACAAATCTGTCAGGTAAATGCTAACCCTTCTCCAAGCTGATAAAGAAAGGTGTTTCCTTCGTATGGGACAAGCCTTGCCAACAAGCTTTCGATGAGATCAAGAACTATCTCTCGAATCCACCTCACTTGGCAGCCCCCATCTCGGGGAAACCCTTCTTGATCTATGTGAGAGCAATGGAGCATTCTATAGGCGCCCTCTTAGCACAGAATGATAATGTCGGCCATGAGCAAGGCTTCTACTACCTGTGCAAGACCTTGTAGGGAGCTGAACAGTGATACCCCATCGTTAAAAAGGAATGTCTGGCCCTAGTGTTCGTAAATCAGAAAATGCAGCACTACTTGGTAGGTCAAACCATTCATGTTATATCTTGGATGAATCCCAATCAAGTCTTCGTGACACAGCCCGAGTCCTTGAACTGGCACCTGGCATGATGGGCACTCTTGTTGTCTCAGTACGACAACCATTTCCTGCCGCAGAAGTCTGTCAAAGGGCAGGCGATCTATGATCTCATGGTCAGTCACCCGCTTGAGTCGAAGGCTGACTTGTTTGAAGACATGTCGGACGAGACCCACAAGGTCAATTCAACCTCGCAGGAAAAAGCCCGGTGACTATACTTCGATGGTGCCTCTCGTGTGGGCACCAGTGGGTCCATTATCACAGGTGTGGGGGTGGTCTTGGTTTCTCCATTAAACCATGTATTACCCCCGAGCTTTCTCACTAACTGAGCCATGTACCAACAATGTGGCTGAGTACAACGCACTGCTCATCGGACTCGACTTCACTAAGGAGTTAGGGGTGAAGCACCTCGAATCCTATGGTGATTCTCAGCTCATCGTCAGACAGATGACGGGAGAATATGAAGTCAGAAATGACGACTTGATCTCATGTCACCAAGCAGCCGTCAAGCTAGCTGAATCATTCGATAGCTTCCACATCGAGCATGTGCTCCGTTCTAAGAACACGCACGCAGATGCATTGGTGTAATTAGCAGCTAACCTAGCCTAGCCACTGGGGACAAGCCAACACGTCACAGTCGCAAGCCGGTGACTCTACCAACCGGAGTATGCTCTAGAGGTGAACGTAAAACACCAAATTTCAGGCCAGTCCAAGTCAAGAGATTGGCGATTCCTAATTTTTGACTATGTCTTGTATGATATACTACCTGAAGACATCAAGGAGTGAGATTTTGTTCACAGACGCGCACCGAGGTTCTACTACGATGCCACCACAAAGGCATTGCATCGTAGGTCGTACGATGCATGTTGCTTCAATGTCTCTCTATGCAATAAAAGCACAAGAAGCCCTACGGGAAGCCCACGATGGTACCTACAAAACTCACCTATCCGAACCCAAGCTGTTACGCCCCGTTTCCCAAAATACCCGGGAATCGGAACGTGAACAAGCCCGCGACGTATTTGATTGAGAAGAAATATACACTATCATTTTTTTTCTCTTCTTTTCTTCTCAATCCAATACGCTAAGCGTCTGGAAATAAATACAATGCGAAGTCACAGGTCCCCGATCACACATAGCAAGAATATAATGACAACCCAGAATAAGAAATAGACATATCATCAATGGTAAATCATCCCAGACATAAAAATATGGGTCAAACACGCCCTTATTACAAAAACGGTTCAACTAGGAATAAAATACATAGTCCATAATAAAAGTACTGATAAAATAACTAAATTCATTATCAAACTAAAGAAATACTGTAAAAGAGTTCTAGTGCTCATCAGCTAGTACAGAAGAAAAGTCTAAGCTTCAGATTGTTCTTCTGATCCATCTGGAAGACCTTATTACTGCAAATCCTCTAGTTCCTGTACTATCCCGAACTGAGGCTGTTCATCTCCTAAATCTGACGTACACCCAGAAAATAGGAGTACGTCAGCGTGTATACACACGGCAAGATCCCCCAAGGCAAGAACAAATACAATAACAGTATTGATAATATATGCGTGATCAATGTGATAACCGAAATAGAAATAGAACATGTGATGATAGTAATAACGATAGAGGCATGCAACTGAAATACTAATAATCAGATGAATCCAAAAATCAACCAAGTAACAAGATCATGCAGGTAGTGATCAGAAATCATCCAAGCAATAAGATCATACAATTGATGGAATTAATATTTAAAAATCTACAACAAGAGACGTAGTACGTCGAGCGAAATAATCCAAACAAGGAAACCCTCATGTATATACCATATGTCTCAAATTGTAAATGACTAAATATTAACCCCAATCTATGTATGAAAAGAACACAACTAGCCATCCTATCACAACTCACTGGTCTACCTCTCACGTATAGTCAAAACTCATATTCACGAATAACCGGTTGTTCACAAATCATCCACACGTAACGGTTCACTACCCCCCTCAGACCCACCCCAGTGCTACACAGGAATTTCACTGGTGGGAGCCTGGAAATAATCAACAATCACAATATCACATCACCTCAGACCCACCCCAACGCTACACAAGAATATCGTTGGTGCGAGCCAGGAAATAATCAACAATCAATATCACTGCACCTCAAACCTACCCCAACGCTACACAAGAATATTGTTGGTGTGAGCCTGGAAATAATCAACAATCAATATCACTGCACCTCAGACCCACCCCAACGCTACACAGGAATATCGTTGGTGCGAGCCTGGAATAATCAACAATCAATATCACTACACCTCAGACCCACCCCAATGCTACACAGGAATATCGTTGGTGTGAGCCTGGAAATAATCAACAATCACAATATCACATCTCCTCAGACCCACCCCAACGCTACACAGGAATATCGTTGGTGCGAGCCTGGAAATAATCAACAATCAATATCACTGCACCTCAGACCCACCCCAACACTACACAGGAATATCGTTGGTGCGAACCTGGAAATAATCAACAATCAATATCATTGCACCTCAGACCCACCCCAACGCTACACAGGAATATCGTTAGTGCGAGCCTGGAATAATCAACAATCAATATCACTGCACCTCAGACCCACCCTAACACTACACAGGAATATCGTTGGTGCGAGCCTGGAAATAATCAACAATCATAATATCACATCTCCTCAGACCCACCCCAACGCTACACAGGAATATCATTTGTGCGAGCCTGGAAACAATCAGCAATCACATATCACTGCACCTTAGACCCACCCCAACGCTACACAGGAATATCGTTGGTGCGAGCCTGGAAATAATCAACAATACCGTATATCACAACTCCTCTCGTTTTTCTAAATCAACAACAAGCCTCTAGATCTTATTCATGTCCCACAGGTCACTATAGTCATAAATGTTAGACCCTAGAGGGGGGTGATTAGGGTCTTATGCTAATCTAATCCGATTATATGCCAATTAAAAATAATTAATAAGTTATCCTAGCAAGTATGAAATACAACAAGAATATAAGCTAGGATAAGCAACATGAACAATGAGATATATCCTATATGATAGAAATATATACAAGGATATATAAACAACACAAGGGTAAAAATCTAAATAAGATAATTGGCGATATAAGATAAATGCAAAAACAAATACGCCAAAGACAAACTCAAACAAGCAATATGATCACGGAGTTCGGACCTTCCGTCCTACGTCTCCGCTCCCCACTCCCGGGGAGAAATCCACTATCAACCGGGTTTTCTACGTTCACCCGAACAACGTTTACACCTCACACTCGGTTTTTTAGCTAACCGAAAACTTTACAATCAACACACTATTGTAATCCCACTCTACACCCACTAAGTGTTGGACCTAGCCGTGTCTCCCTCAAGTGCTCGGTTACAACCTCTCCCTAGGTTCGTCAGCCGACGCCACTCCTCTTAGGACGATCCCCGACTCTCACCACACACTCCTCACTCGGTGTACAAGTGTATTACAAAGTGAATCTCACGATAAGCACAATATAATAAATAATTGTTCTCAACTATGGATGAGAACACAATTAAAGCACAACTCAAAGTTAAAATCTCTCACCATCCAACTATACTATGTATGTAAATACTAAAAGCTCAATGTGGGTGTGTGTAACAATGAGTAATATAAAATCAAATCTAAACTCAATATAAAACTAGCTTTAATAGAAATGATAATTAACAAATAATTATAAGTAAAAGCTAGAGTTGAGTTTAGGAAAACTTCTCTAGATCAAGATGGAGAGATGGAGATTTGAGGCCCAAACAATAAGATAATCTCCTCCACTTGTGAAAGCTAAAACTGCTTTAAACCAAACCCTTAAACAAGTTTAAACAAGATTAAACTCTTTTTAAAACCCTTGTTTAAAAACTTCTTAGCTAGCTTGAAAGAGAGCAGCAATAGGGTATATATACCCACTTGAAATCACAGTCAAGAAGCCCAAACAAAAGACAAAAATAGCCCCAGCAAACAGCTCAGAGAAATAGCCATTGAAGTCCAACGGATCTATTGTCGGTCGACCGGAAATTTCGTCGGTCGACCGACGGAGAGCAAAAACACGAAGAAGCAGTTCTGGACCATCGTCGGTCGAC